GGTTCAAAGCCAGCCTGGACAGGAAAGTCCGTGACTCTTATCTCTAATTAACGACCAGAAAGCTGGAAGTGGCTCTGTGGCTCAAGTAGAGCACTCACCTTGAGGTGAATTGCTCAGGGACAGCACCCAGGCCCAGAGTTCAAGCCCCACAACAGCCAAAAACCCAAACACCTAGAGCAGAGCTGAGGGTATAGGAAGCCCAGGGTTCCAGCTCAGCATTGGGGGCGGGGGGACGTACATTTAGCTGGAAGTCCAGCTTGCGTGGTGTTGATATCTTAGTTTCAGATGGATGCATACATAGAAGCTTTTCACTTGCTGTCACTGGGAGCCAAGCACTGGTAGCTTATCCCTGTCGTCCTAGCTCATGGGAGGCTGAGATCTGAAGATCGCAGTTCGAAGCCAGCCGGGGCCGGGTAGCCTGTGGGACTCTTTATCTCCAAACTGCAAGTGTTGCTGTGGCTGAAAGTGGTAGAGCATGAGCTTTGAGCAAAAGAGCTCAGGGACAGCGCCCAGGCCCGGAGTTCAAGCCCCAGGACCAACCAAAATGAAAAAATCACTTGGGGGCTGGGAAGGTGGCTCGGTGGTAGAGCGCTTGCCTTGCATGCATGAGGGCCTGGGTTTGATTCCTCAGCACCAGGTAAGTAGAAAAAGCTGGAAGTGACGCTGTGGCTCAAGTGGTAGAATGCTCACCTTGAGCGGAAGAGCTGACGGACAGCGCCCAGGCCCAGAGTTCAGCCCCCACAACCGACCAAAAAAAAATCAGTTGGCAAGACAGAAAGCCAGGGAAACTCAGGCCACACTCATTTGTTTTCATTTTGTTTTTGCTTTTTTTCTTTTACCTTAAGTAGTTAAACATGAAATAGATGTCTTCTATTCCTGTCCCCGCCACCTCATTCTTTGAAATCATTGTCTTTGCTCTTTTTTTTTTCTTTCTTTTTGGTACAAATCCCAGGGCTTGAACTTAGTCTTAGCTTTTCTCTCAAGGCTGGCATCCTACCATTTGAGCCACAGCTCTGTTTCTTGATATTTGGTGGTTAAGTGAAGATGAAAGTGTCTTAGATTTGTGTGCCCAGGGTTGGCTTCAAACTAATACTCAGATCTCAGCCTCCTGAGGAGTTAGGATAAGTGTGAACCTCTGGTGCTTGGCTTATTTTTTATTTTTTGTCAGTCATGGGGCTTGAACTCAGGACCCAAGCACTATCCCTGAGTTTTTTTACTCAAGGCTAATGCTCTACCACTTTGAACCACAATGCCACTTTTGGTTTTCTGGTAATTCATTGGAGATGAGTCTTTTGGACTTTCCTGCCCAGGCTGGCTTCAAACCATGATCCTCAGATCTCTGCCTCCTGAGTAGCTAGGATTATGAGCCATCAGTACCCAGCTTACTTTTTTTTTTTTAATATTTTTTGTACCGGGCGCCAGTGGCTCACGCCTGTCATCCTAGCTACTCAGGAGGCTGAGATCTGAGGACCACAGCTCAAAGCCAGCCCTGAGACTGGCTTTGAAAGCCTGTGAGACTCTTATCTCCAATAAACCACCAGAAAACCAGAAGTGGCGCTGTAGCTCAAGTGGTAGAGCACTAGCCTTGAGCTGAGGAGCACAGGGACAGTGCCCAGGACCAGAGTTCAAGCCCACAACTGACCAAAAAATATGTTTTTTGCAGTGCTGGGAATGAAACCTAGGGCCTTGCATCTGCTAGGCAAGCGCTTTCCCACTGAGCTGAACCCCTGTTCTAGGGTTTCAGTGCCATCTCAAGTAAGGTCTGTTAATTACCCTTATTTTGAAATTGGAGAGACTGAGGCACTGAGGTACAGTGACTTGGTTGAAGCCACACAGCCGGTGACAAAGCCAGGATTTTACTGTAGTTGGGTGGCTCCAGGGTTCCCTCAGGGTGAGCGTGTTTGTGCATGTGTATGTGCGTGTATGTGTGTGTATACCAGTCCTAGGCCTTGAGCTGATGGCCTGGGCACTGTTCCTGAGCTTTTTTGCCCAAGGCTGGCGTTCTACTACTTGAGCCACAGCTACTTCTGGATTTTGGGGTGGTTAATTAGAGATAAGAGTCTCATGAGGGCTGGGAAGGTGGCTCAGTGGTAGAGCCTTGTATGCATGAGGCCTTGGCTTTGATTCCTCAGTACCACATAAGCAGAAAAAGTCAGAAGTGGCGCTGTGGCTCAAGTGGTAGAGCCCTAGCCTTGAGCTGAAGAGCTGAGGGGCAGCACCTGGGCCCAGAGTTCAAGCCCCACCACCGACAAAAAAAAAAAAAAAATAGTAAGAGTCTTATGAGCCAGGTGCTGATGGCTCACACTTGTAATCATAACTACTCAGGAGGATGAGATCTGAGGATCGAGGGTGGATGCCAGACCAGGCAGAAAAGTCTGTGTCTGTGAGACTCTTTTTCTTTTTTTTTTTTGGGTCCGGTCATGGGGCCTGAACTCTGGGCCTGGGCGCTGTCCCTCAGCTCTTCAGCTCAAGGCTAGCGCTCTACCACTTGAGCCACAGCGCCACTTCCAGCTTTTTATTTTTTGCTTATGTGGTGCTGAGGAATCGAACCCAGGGCCTCGAGCATGCAAACGCTCTACCACTGAGCCACCTTTCCAGCCCCCGTGAGACTCTTACATCCAATTAATCACAGAAAAAGCTGGAAGTGATAGATTGCTAGCCTTGAGCAAAAAAGGAACTCAAGGATAGAGCCCGGGCCCTGAGTTCAAGCCCCAAGACTGACTTAAAAAACTTTCAGCCAGGCGCTGGTGGCTCACGCCTATAATCCTAGCAACTCAGGAGGCTGAGATCTGAGGATCGTGGTTCAAAGCCAGCCCGGGCAGGAGAGACTGAGACTCCTATCTCCAATAAACTACCAGAAAACCAGAAGTGGCGCTGTAGCTCAAGTGGTAGAGCACTTGCCTTGAGCTGAAGAGCTGAGGGGCAGCACTCAGGCCCAGAGTTCAAGCCCCACAGCCAGCTGACCAAAATCAATCAATCAATCAATCAGGGACTTTCCTGCCCAGGCTGCCTTTGAACCATGATCCCCAGTTCTCAGCTTTCTGAGTAGCTGGGATTATAGGCGTCAGTGCCCAGCCAGTGTGACCACCTTAAATGTTGATAGCTGTGACCGTATTGGACAGAAGGAAAGAGGGGACTGGTTGGTGACATGTAGGAACTAGCTAAGGTGTCGGTGTACTAGCATCCCTGAGGCTTCCATCTCTGTCTTCTGGTGCTATATCGGCTGGGTGCTACAAGCTTCTGTCCCTGCTTTTCCCATAGATGTCTTTGCCCAATGACATGACAAGGACAGAGGAGGCCACGAAACCCCACATTGTAGGTAAGGCCCCAAGCACAGGGCAGCGAGGCCTGTGACCTTTCCCAGTCCTGCCCGTTCCCCCGGGGCCTGTGACCTGTGGCCTCCCTGGGCCTTTGGGAGCCAGTTCAAACATGGTCTCCACCGCAGGAATCCAGAGTCCAGATCAGCAGGCTGCCCTGGCCCGCCACGACCCAGCCCGGCCTGTCTTTGTGGAGGGCCCCTTCTCCCTGTGGCTCCATAATAAGTGTGTCTATTACCACATCCTCAGAGCTGACCCGCTGCCCCCTGAGGAGAGGGTGAGAGCCCCCCCCCCATGGCATGGGGGGCCCTGGTGGGTGGGCTACTGGGCAGGGAGGCTTGCAAGATCCTGGGCCTCTGACCCTGCCTGCTCCCTGTACCTCGAGATAGGAAGTGGAGGAGATCCCTGAGGAATGGAATCTCTACTATCCCATGAAGCTGGACCTGGAGTATGGCAGGGGCGGCTGGGATGACTATGAGTTTGACATCGATGAAGGTAAACATCTGGCTGGGCAGGGCTCAGCACTAAACAAGCTGTGTGGTCTCTGGGGACCCAGGCTGAGACACACCCCCACTCAGCAGGCATCTACCCAAGCCATGAGCCTCCAGGCTTAAGGCCTGAATAGGCCTGTCCCTCCTTCCAGGATTGTCCTTCATGAAACTCTTCCATACTGATGATGGGGGGCCGGGGAGGCTGGGTGGGTTACCCCAGGTCAGCCAGGAAACAGGCAAGTTATATTTTGGGGAATTTTGAGAGTGGTGGTATGCAGAATTAGGAAGAAGCAAGCAGGCTGGACCTTTTAAGTGCGGAATGTGTGTAGTTGGGGCAGAGGGGACAGCTGGTGCAAAGGTATGGAGACATCCCACACAGACGCTTTCTCCACAGGGGGCTCGGACAGTGGACATGGGGTGAGGGGGCTGTTGCACCCCATTGCACTCTCTCTCTCTCTCTGCCAACAGTGGAAGAAGGCCCGATCTTCGCCATGTGCATGGCAGGTGCCCACGACCAGGCCACACTAGCCAAGTGGATCCAGGGCCTGCAGGAGACCAACCCAGCCCTGGCCCAGATCCCTGTGGTCTTCCGCTTGGCAGGAGTTTCAGGGGAGCTCCTGACACCCACAGGGATGGAGGAGCCGACTGGACCCGTTTCTGAGGGCCACCAGGACGCTGACGACCATCAACAGCCACAGCAGCAGAGTCACGGGGGATCCTGAGCACAGGCAGCGGCTCCTGGAGGCTGTGGACCGCGGGCGAACTTTTGAGTGTACAGCAAATAAAAATATTGTTGCCTGGGGCTGTCTTCCCTCCTCTCTGGCAGCGCAGCATCCCTTCCCCCGATCGCCCCAGGACGCCCCACACGGGTCACGCCTCCTACTCCACTGGATGGACTCCTCGGCCTCCACCACTCCGGGTCGTGGCCACGAACCTCAGCCCTTCCTTTAACGAAATTAGAAAATTACCCCAGCCTGTAATCCTCAGGAGGCTGAGATCTGAGGATTGCAGCTCCAAGCCATCCCGGGAAGGAAAGACGGAGAGACCAAAAAGCCAAAAGTGGGGGTGTGGTTCAAGGGGTAGAGCGCTGGCCTTGAGCGGAGAACGCTCAGGGACAGCGCCCAGGCGCCGGATTCCAGTCCCAGGCCCGGTGCGCGCACACACAAAGGTAGCCCGAAAGGCAGTGGCGGGGAACCGGCCGCGCGCATGCGCAGCTCCCGCTGCCAGGCCTCCTTTGGTGCCGCCGGGCAGAGGAAGGCCGTGAGAAATTTCCCGGCGGCGCGGAAGATGCGCGCCACTTCCGGCAGGGCTCCTAACAACGGGGGAGGCTGGTAACTAGGGTGGGGGGGATGGCGGAGCGGGCGCCGGAGCCCGAGGCGGAGGCGGAGGCGGAGGCGGGAGCAGGCGGGGAGGCGGCAGCGGCCGAGGAGGGAGCGGCGGGCCGCAAGGCGCGCGGCCGGCCTCGGCTCACGGAGTCGGACCGGGCCCGGCGGCGGCTGGAGTCCCGGAAGAAGTACGACGTGCGGCGCGTGTACCTGGGCGAGGCGCACGGACCCTGGGTGGACCTGCGGCGCCGCAGCGGCTGGAGCGACGCCAAGCTCGCCGCCTACCTCATCTCGCTGGAGCGCGGCCAGCGCAGCGGCCGCCACGGGTGAGGGGGCCCGGCGAGGCAGGGAAGGACGGAGGGAGGGAGCGCGCGGGGGAGGCGCCCCGCCCTCGCGGCGCCCGGCCCCGCCCACCCGCCGGACGGCCCCGCCCCCTGCACCTGCGAGCTCCGCCCCGGGGGCCCGAGCTGCGGGCCGGGGGCTCCCACGGTCGGACTCGGGACGCGCCTGGCTCGCGGCTCCACCCCCAATCCTCGGCGGCCCAATCCCAGGATGTGCCCGGCCTCCTGGCCCGCCTTCTGGGCAGGAGGCCCCGCCCTCTAGAACTCTGCCTGACCAATCTCCTCCTGGCCCCACCTCCAGTCATTGTAATCGCCCAATGGCTGGAGAGGTGTTCCGGCGTCCTGAGACGGCTGACGTCCCGCGGCGGGCCTCGGCTTTCACTGGTCTCCAAAACTCCACGCTTGGCCTGGGACTCCGATTAGCCTTAAGGTTCTAAAGCCCCGTATGGGATGGTGTATGTCCCATCTACCTGGGGTCCCCTCAGTCTTCCGACTCCTGGGGAGCAACTCAGCCCTCAGAGGCTCAGGTGGGTTTGAGTGAAGCTGGTCGAGTGGATGAAGTTTTTACCCTCCTGCCATAGAGGGTGATGGGAGACGTGAGCTAAAGAGGCCTGCCAGTGTGGCTCAGTGGTTAGAGAGTTTGCCTGACACATGCAAGGCCCGGCACCACAAACAGGAAACAAATAGTGTGTCAAAGTCTGCCATGATGGGGCTGGGAAGGTGGCTCAGTGGTAGAGCGCTTGCCTTGCATGCCTGAGGCCCTGGGTTCGATTCCTCAGCACCACATAAGCAAAAAGAAAAAAGCCGGAAGTGGTGCTGTGGCTTGCTAAACTGTACCCGATTCCTATAGGGGGTTTGAACTCAGGGCCTTTTGCTCTTTCACTCCAGCCCTGCTTTTTGCCGGGTAATTTCAGGTGGAGTCTGTGAGCATTTTCTGCCCAGGCCTCAAATCTTGTTCCTCCAGATCTCAGCCTCCTGAGTTGCCAGTATTACCTGTGTGAGCTATACCAGCGCCTCAACTAACAAGGAGGTGTTTTGGTGCCAGTCCTGGAGCTTGAACTCAGAACCTGCACACTGGTTCTGAGCTTTTCTACCATCTGAGCCATTAGCTCCACTTTGGGCTTTTTGGTGGTTCATTGGAGATAAGAGTCTCACGGACTTTCCTGCCTGGGCTGACTTAGAACAGAGAACCTCAGTGTTCTCTCTTCTGAGTAGTTAGGCACCCCACAGGAGGGTTTTTGTTGGTGGTGTTTAGACAGGATTTGCTGGAAATGGAACCCAAGGCTTCTCTTATGCTAAATCCTCAGTCTACCACTGAGCTATACCTCCAGCCAGGAAATTAATCATCTCTAAGCTCCAATTAATCACCAAAAATCTGGAAGTGGAGCTGTGACTTAACTGGTAGAGTGCTTGCCTTGGTTAAAATAGCTAAGGGATGGGGCCAGTAAAGTGGCTCAGTGGTAGAGTGCTTGCCTTGCACACATGAGGCCCTGAGTTCAATTCCTCAGCACCACATAAGCAAAAAGCCAGAAGTGGCGCTGTGTCTCAAGTGGTAGAGTGATAGCCTTGAGTTGAAGAGCTGAGGGACAGCGCCCAGGACCAGACTTCAGGCCCCATGACTGGCAAAAAAGCAAAAAAAAAAACCCAAAAAGCTAAGGGAGCCGGGTGCTGGTGGCTCACGCCTGTAATCCTAGTTACTCGTGAGGCTGAGATCTGAGGGTCTCAGTTCATAGCCAGCCCAGACGGGAAAGTCTATGAGACTCTTACCTCTTAACTACCAGAAAACCGGAAGTGGCACTGTGGTTCAAGTGGTAGAGGGCTTACCTTGATCTGAAGAGCTCCAGGACAGTGCTCAGGCCCATTGTTCAAGCCCACAACTGACAAAAAATAAAAGCTGGGCTGGGAAGGTGGCTCAGTGGAGTGGCAGAGTGCTCGCCTTGCATGCATGAGGCCCTGGGTTCCATTCCTCAGCACCACATATAGAGAAAAAGCTGGAAGTGGCGCTGTGGCTCAAGGGGTAGAGCACTTGCCTTGAGATAAAGAGCTGAGGGACAGTGCCCAGGCCCAGAGTTCAAGCCCTAGGACCAAACTAAATAAATAAAATAAAAGCTAAGGGAAGAAATGTGGCTTTGTGGTAGAGTGCTTGCCTAGCATGCATGAAGCCTTGGGTTTGATTCCTCAGTACCACATACACAGAAAAGGCTGGAGGTGGAGCTGTGCTTCAAGTGGTAGAGTGCCAGCCTTGAGCAAAAAGAAGCTCATGAACAGAGCCCAGACCCTGAGTTCAAGCCCAGCACTGGCCAAAAAAAAAGCTAAGGGGACTGGGCACTGGTGCCCAATGGCTCCCGCCTGTCATCCTAGCTATTCAGGAAGTTGAGATCTGAGGACCTGGGTTCAAAGCCAGCTGGGGCAGAAAAGTCCTGGAGAGACTCATCTCCAGCTAACCACCCAAAAAACTAGAAGTGGCGCTGTGGCTCAAAGTGTAGAACACTAGTCTTGAACAAAGAGCTCAGGGACAGCACCCAGGTCCTGAATTCAAGCCTCATGACCAAATGAAAAAGCTAAGGCTTAGGCTCTGAGTTCAGGCCCCAGAATCAGCACAAAAAAAATAAACTCCCCTAAGTCTGTGAGCACACAGTCAAGGTGCTGAGCCGCAGCCAGAGTGGGAAGTCCATGAGGCCAATCGGTGTGACTGACATCCAGGTCCTCAGGAGGCCCTGGCCTGACCCTCTTCTACCAGGGCCTAAGGAGCAGCATGGCTTCCGACTGCAGCTCTACACGTACCACCTCCCAGTTCTGTAGATCAGGAGCCTGGCACATCGGTACGGGGCCCTGCCCTCTGGCAGGTGAGGCCAAACTCAAGGTGCTCGGTGCTTAGGCCTTCGTCTGAAGCATGCTGGGAAAGAATGCCTTCAGACGGCTTCAGGGTGCTGGAGAATTCCTTTCTTTCTTGCTCTTCTGCTGGCTGTGGGCTGGGACAGCTCCAGGAGGCCCCTCCGTGGGCTGCTCCACCATTCCAGCTGCGCACTGCTGTCTGTAGCAGGCCCCAGCCCCCCTTTTTGTTTGTCGGTCATGGGGCCTGAACTCTGGGCCTGGGCGCTGTCCCTCAGCTCTTCAGCTCAAGGCGAGCACTCTACCACTTGAGCCACAGTGCCACTTCTGGCTTTTTCTGCTTATGTGGTGCTGAAAATTGAACCCAGGGCCTCATGCATGCAAGGCAAGCACTCTACCACTGAGCCACCTTCCCAGCCCCCTTTTTTTTTGGTCAGTAGTGGGTCTTGAACTCTGGGCCTGGGCGCTGTCCCTCAAATCCTCAGCTTAAGGCAAGCCCTCTACCACTTGAGCCACAGCACCACTTCTGGTTTTCTGGTGGTTCATTGGAGATAAGAGTCTCAGGGACTTTCCTGCCCAGGCTGGCTTTGAACCACGATCCTCAGATCTCAGCCTCCTGAGTAGCTGGGATGGCAGGCGTGTGCCACGGGTGCCTGGCTAGTTCTTTTGCTTTCAGTTTGGGTCTCCTCCTTGCCCGGCCAGGGCCTGTGACACACGCTCAGATGGGCACAGACACACGACTTTCTTTCCTTATTTGTCATCAGTCAGGACACCGTCCACCTTGACCTAACCTCACCCTCCTTGCTTCTCTCCGTTGCAGGAAGCCTTGGGAGCAAGTCCCCAAAAAGCCAAAGCGGAAGAAAAGTAAGTAGCACTTGCTTCTGCCTAGTGGGAGGCCAGGAGAGGGGAGGGAGAACAAGGAAGGCCCCGAGAGGCCAAGACACCGCCGTAGGCTGCACAGTCCGATGGCCCTGCCGGACCCTACCCAGCTTGACCATCTGCACGTCCCCTTCGCGCCCCTGTGTGGAGTTTGCCAGGACGGGCTGAGCAGAGGGGACAACTTGTACAAAGACACAAGGTGGTTCTTCACAGGCCAGCTGGGGCCCAGCACAGAGAGGGATTGAAGGCCGACTAGACAGGGAGTGGGTCCCGGGAGATGGAGATCTCAGCGACCCCTGAGAGTTCTGTCTCGCACACCTTTCTCCTTCCATAGTCTCCAACTTTGGGATCTGGGGGGCCAGTTGGGGGCTACACAGGAACGAGTCCCACCCTGCAAGGCCGGAACCCCGCGGTTGAGGGCAGAGCGCTTGAGATGCGTCAGCCGCCGGAGCTGCCCTGGCCCCGCCCCCTCAGTGTCCCGCACGCACGCACGCACGCACGCACGCAAGCACGTAGAGCGGAGCTAAGAGCTTGGGCCTGGGGCTGGGAAGGCGGCTCAGGGGTAGAGTGCTTGCCTCGCATGCATGAGGCTCTGGGTTTGATTCCTTAGCACCACATAAGCAGAAAAAGCTGGAAGTGGCGCTGTGGCTCAAGTGGTAGAGCGCTAGCCTTGAGCTGAAGAGCTGAGGGACAGCGCCCAGGCCCGGAGTTCAGACCACATGATTGAGGGAAAAAAAAAAAAAGACCTTGTACCTGAATGAAAAAGAGGTAGGGGCCAGGTGCTGGTGGCTCACGCCTGTCATCGTAGCTACTCAAGAGGCTGAGATCTGAGGATCGAGGTTTGAAGCCAGCCTGGACAGGAAAAGCCAAGAGACTTTTTTTTTTTTTTTTGTTGGTCATGGGGCTTGAACTCTGGGCCTGGGTGCTGTCCCTCAGCTCTACAGCTCAAGGCTAGCACTCTACCACTTGAGCCACAGCGCCACTTCTGCCTTTTTCTGCTTATGTGGTGCTGAGGAATGGAACCCAGGGCCTCATGCATGCGAGGCAAGCACTCTACCACTAAGCCGCCTTCCCAGACCCCTGGGAGACTCTTATTTCCAATGAACCAACCAAAAAGCCAGAAGTGGAGCTGTGGCTCAGGTGGTAGAGCACCAGCCTTGAATGAAAAGAAGGTCATGGACAGAAACAAGGCCCTAAGTTCAAGCCCCATGACCAGTGGAAGAAAGGAGGAAGGGAGGGAAAAGAAAAGTAAAAGTGGGCTGGGAAGGTGGCTCAGGGGTAGAGCGCTTGCCTTGCATGCATGAGGCTCTGGGTTTGATTCCTTAGCACCCTATAAGCAGAAAAAGCTGTAAATGGTGCTGTAGCTCAAGTGGTAGAGTGCTAGCCTTGAGCAAAAGAAATTCAGGGACAGTGCCTAGGCCCTGAGTTCAAGCCCCAGGACTAGCACAAAAAAAGAAATAGAAAAAGCAAAGCAAAAGCGTTAGGGCATGTGGCTGGGAACACCACTGCAGTTCCCTGGGGGCTGCAGACCCTGAGCCTCATCCTGAAGGCTCAGGATCTCCTCCAGACCCCTCCCCATCTCCCGCTCCTGAGGGGGGGGGAAGGGAGCCACACCTCCCTCCCACTTGGAGGAGGGACGGGACCAGCCCTGCCTGGTTTCCTTGGTTCCTGACTGCCCCTCAGACCCACCCGCCGCTGCCCAGCCAGGCTGTAACCACCTTCCCATAGAACCCTCTCACCCCGCACACATTTGTGTGCCGGGCCTTGGACAAAACAGTCAAATGTCCCAGCCTTTGGGGAGCTGCATTCTGGGGGAAGGGGGAGTAGATCTGGGGGCAAGGGAGTGGCACATGGGGGAGACCTGAGTGAAGGCAGGGGAGCAGGGCGGGTGGGGGAGGAAGAGGGTGCACCTGTGCAAAGGCCCTGAGGCAGGGCATCCGCGATTCCCCCCCCCCACACGCTCATTGCTCCCGGGTGCCCTCTGGTGGTTGTGTGGGAAGTGAGGGCAGGCCAAGGGAGCCGCCGATGAAGAGGAGCACCTACTACGTGCTAGGCGCCGTGGGTTCTCTGTGAGGACACTCAGGGAGCCATCCCTGTGTGTCCACACCCAGGCACTCGGTTTGTCTGTCCTATCAGCCTCAGTTTCCCCCTCTAGAAACTGGGTGCAGGGCTGGGGCGCGCGCCAGCCACGCGGTCCCCCGGGCGCCCTGACCCCCCCACCCCCACCCGTGTCCCTGACCCCACAACCCCCCCGTGTCCCTGACCCCCCCCCGTGTCCCTGACCCCCCCACCCCACCCGTGTCCCTGACCCCCCCACCCCACCCGTGTCCCTGACCCCCCACCCCCACCCGTGTCCCTGACCGCCACACCCCACCCGTGTCCCTGACCCCCCCACCCCCACCCGAGCCCCTGACCCCCCCACCCCCACCCGTGTCCCTGACCGCCACACCCCACCCGTGTCCCTGACCCCCCCACCCGTGTCCCTGACCCCCCCGTGTCCCTGACCCCCCCATCCCCCCCGTGTCCCTGACCCCCCCACCCCCCGTGTCCCTGACCCCCCCACCCCCACCCGTGTCCCTGACCCCCCCACCCCCACCCGTGTCCCTGACCCCCCCACCCCCACCCGTGTCCCTGACCCCCCCCGTGTCCCTGACCCCCCCATCCCCCCCCGTGTCCCTGACCCCCCCACCCCCCGTGTCCCTGACCCCCCACCCCCACCCGTGTCCCTGACCCCCCCACCCCCACCCGTGTCCCTGACCCCGCACCCCCACCCGTGTCCCTGACCCCCCCACCCCCACCCGTGCCCCTGACCCCCCCACCCCACCCGTTTCCCTGACCCCCCCACCCCCCCCCCGTGTCCCTGACCCCCCACCCCCACCCGTGTCCCTGACCCCCCACCCCCACCTGTGTCCCTGACCCCCCACCCCACGCGTGTCCCTGACACCCCACCCCCCCCGTGTCCCTGACCCCCCACCCCCACCCGTGCCCCTGACCCCCACACCCCCACCCGTGTCCCTGACCCCCCCCGTGTCCCTGACCCCCCACCCCCCCCCGTGTCCCTGACCCCCACCCGTGTCCCTGACCCCCCACCCCCACCCGTGTCCCTGACCCCCCCGTGTCCCTGACCCCCCACCCCCCCCCGTGTCCCTGACCCCCCCACCCCCCCCGTGTCCCTGACCCCCACCCCCCACCCGTGTCCCTGACCCCCCCACCCCCCCCGTGTCCCTGACCCCCACCCCCACCCGTGTCCCTGACCCCCCCACCCCCCGTGTCCCTGACCCCCCACCCCCCCCGTGTCCCCAGGGCGGCGGCGCAACGTGAACTGCCTGAAGAACGTGGTGATCTGGTACGAGGACCACAAGCACCGCTGCCCGTACGAGCCGCACCTGGCCGAGCTGGACCCCACCTTCGGCCTGTACACCACGGCCGTGTGGCAGTGCGAGGCCGGCCACCGCTACTTCCAGGACCTGCACTCGCCGCTCAAGCCGCTCAGCGACTCGGAGCCCGACAGCGACAAAGGTGGGGGGCGGGGGGGCGGGGGTGAGGACACGGGGGGGCGGGGGTGAGGACACGGGGGGGGGCGGGGGTGAGGACACGGGGGGGCGGGGGTGAGGACACGGAGGGGGCGGGGGTGAGGACACGGGGGGGCGGGGGTGAGGACACGGGGGGGCGGGGGTGAGGACACGGGGGGCGGGGCGGGGGTGAGGACACGGGGGGCGGGGGGTGAGGACACGGAGGGGGCGGGGGTGAGGACACGGGGGGGCGGGGGTGAGGACACGGGGGGGCGGGGGTGAGGACACGGGGGGGCGGGGGTGAGGACACGGGGGGGCCGGGGTGAGGACACGGGGGGGGGCGGGGGGTGAGGACACGGGGGGGCGGGGCTCCGTAGGGGTGAGGACACGGAGGGGGCGGGGCTCCGTGGGGGTGAGGACACGGAGGGGGAGGGGGATGAGGCGGGAGGGAGGACGGGGAGGGGGAGGGGCTCCGTGGGTGAGGACCACAGCCAGGCTTTAGGGACAGCGACCCGCGGCCTTGCGGGCCTGGCGGCCGGCGCTGGGGGGGTGCGCGGCACGGTCCCCGCGGGCCTGGCGGCCGGCGCTGGGGGGTGCGCGGCACGGTCCCCGCGGGCCTGGCGGCCGGCGCTGGGGGGGTGCGCGGCACGGTCCCCGCGGGCCTGGCGGCCGGCGCTGGGGGGGTGATCCCGCACGGTCCCCGCGTCTCCCCACGCCGTGCCGGGCGGGGCCGTCCTGCGCTCCAGGCCTTGTACTGGGCTGCGCTGGGGTTGGAGCCGAGGGCGTCGGGCTTGCGGAGCAGGGGCTCCGCCCCCGCCATCGCGCCCCAGCTCGTTTTTGTGTGTTCTTTTTTCACTTTATTTTTCACCTCGTGCAGCCTCAGACCGTGGTCCTCCCACTTATGCCTCCTGCCGCCTGGCTGGCTGGCGGGGATGGCGGGCAGCCCGCCGCCCCCGGCCCACGGGCTGAGCTGAGGGGCTCAAGCTAGCTTTTTCTGTCCGGGCTGGCCACAGGTGCTAGCGGCATAAGCCACCACGCTTGGCCGGTTCCCTCCCTCCATCTCCGTTTCCTCCTCCTCCCTGGCTGTTGGACTCCTTCCTTCTTCCCCTCCTCCTCCTCCCTGCCCCTCCCCCCTCCGAGGCTCGCCCTGGGCTGACTGCCCACTGAGGGCCAAGGAGGGACTCCGGGGAGGACCCACGGGCCCAGGGGAGCCGCAGGCCCCCATGGGGTGGGGGGAGGGCCCCCCTGCTGCCTCGGGGGCGTGGCGTGGCCCAGCGGGCGCGGGGCTCGCTGCCAGGCCCGGGTGGGGTCAGCCGCCAGGGCGGGGCCGCGCTGGCAGGCAACACGGAGCAGGTGGCGTCCCAGCTGGCCGAGGGGAAGCCGTGGGCGAGAGGTGTCCCTGGTGGGCCCCCACGCCCACAGCCGCCCCACTGCGCATGGGCCAGGCTCCCGGCGGCACGCAGTGCCCCGCCCTCCCCCACCTGTCACCTCCCCCACCCGCACTCCAGGGCTGCCCCCCCCCCCCAGCCCTGGCCTCAGCCAGCACTGGCCCACGTGCAGCCACCCGGCTGGAACAGGGGTGGTGCCTAAACCCATTAGGTGTATGCCAGTACTGGGACTTGAACTCGGGGACCTGGCCACTGTCCGTTAGCTTCCTAGCCCAAGGCTGGCACTCTGCCTCTCAAGCCAAGCTTCCAAGCTGGCATTTTGCTGGTTCATTGGAGACAGTCTCAAAAACTCTTCTACCTGGACTGCCTTTGAACTGCAGTCCTCCAGATCTCAGCCTTCTGTGTAGCTGGGATTACAAATGTCATTTTTTTTCTTTTTGTCAGTCGTAGTCTTGAACTCTGGGCCTGGGCGCTGTCCCTGCGCTCTTCAGCTCAAGGCTAGCACTCTACCACTTGAGCCACAGCGCCACTTCTGCTTTTTTGATGGTTTATTGGAGATAAGAGTCTTATGGACTTTCCTGCCCCAGCTGGCCTTGACCCTCAATCCTCAGATCTCAGCCTCCTGAGTAGCTAGGATGACAGGCGTGAGCCACCGGCCCCCGGCTACAGTGTCCAATTCCAAGAAACCCCAGTGGCCACGGCCACTATGGTCACGGCCCCCTTTCTTGTCTTCCCTGCAGTGGGCAATGGTGTGGGGGCCAGCAGCTCCCCCTCGTCCAGCTCGGGCTCAGGCTCGGACTCTGAGGACGCCCCGGAGGCCCAGCCTGTGAGAACGGCGGCGGTGGCGGCGGCCGTGACCCCCACCAGCCCGGTGGGCAGCAGCGGGCTCATCACACCCGACGGCGTGCACATCCCCTTCGGCGTGCACCACGTGGAGAGCCTGGCGGAGCAGGGCGCCCCGCTGGGCCCCAACCCCGCGGGCAGCGGCCCCGAAGCCTTGGAGACCGTGGTGTGCGTGCCCGTGCCCGTGCAGGTGGGCGCCGGCCCCAGCACCCTCTTTGAGAATGTACCCCAAGAGGCGCTGGGCGAGGTGGTGGCCAGCTGTCCCGTGCCCGGCATGGTGCCCGGCTCGCAGGTCATCATCATTGCCAGCCCCGGCTACGACGCCCTCACGGCCGAGGGCATTCACCTCAATGTGGCCGCGGGGAGCGGCACCCCCAGCGGCGGCCTCGGCGAGGAGCTGCCCTGTGCCATGATGGAGGGGGTGGCTGCCTACACCCAGACGGAGCCCGAGGGCAGCCAGCCCAGCACCCTGGACACCACCCGCCATAGCCAGCAGCATCGAGGCCAAGAAAGGTCTGGGGGCGCGCCCCACCCCCCGTGGCGGCCTCGGGGCAGGGATCGGGAGGACCCGGCATGGCTGGGGCCTCCACCGACACCCGCCCTGTGTCCACCCCCTAGAGAAGGAGGACCTGTACCTGCTCAAGAGGGAGAAGGAGGAGCTGGCAGCCCCGGGGCTGGCGGAGCTGGCGGCCACCGTGCCCGAGAGCGCAGAGGCCGAGGCGGACGGGGAGGAGCTGGACAGCGGCGGGGCCATGTCAGCCATCATCTACGAGATCCCCAAGGAGCCGGAGAAGTGGGTGCCGGGATGGCCGGGTTGGGGCACGGGCCAGGAGCTCCCTGCGAGCCCCGAGCCTGCCCCGGGGGTTCGATGGCCGCACAGCTCGGGGTGGGGGCCCTTCCTCTCCCAGGCGGCGTCGGAGCAAGCGCGCTCGCGTGACGGATGCGGACGGCCTGCTGGAAATGTTCCACTGCCCCTACGAGGGCTGCAGCCAGGTCTACGTGGCCCTCAGCAGCTTCCAGGTGAGGCTCCCGCCCCCCCCCCACGTCCCACCTCACCCCCGGGCAGGGCTGGCCCCAGGTCTGTGCCCATGAACCCACATTACCCCCGGGCAGGGCTGGCCCCGGGTCTGTTTCCGTGACCCCCCCCTCCCCCCGGGGCAGGGCTGGCCCCCGGTCTGTGCCCGTGAACCCACATAATCCCCAGCGTCTTGTCAAGCCACCATCTTGCAGGACATCCCCGACCCGTGTCCACACACTCCCAGAAAGCGCCGTCCAGCACCAGGACCTCAGGGCCATGGCTTGCCCTCCCCCTGGACCCCGCGCCCCAGGGCAGAGATAGACCTGTGCCCAGGCCTGGCACAGAAGCCAGCACAGTAGGCCTTTGAGTGTGCCAAGCTGTATTTTCACCAAGTCACTGTTGAATGCCTACTGCGTGCCAGCCTACACCCGACCTGCAGTAGGGACTTGTGAAAGCTACTCCCGGGCCAGGGCTGGTGGCTCACCGCCTGTCATCCTAGCTACTCAGGAAGCTGAGATCTGACAATCGAGGTTCAAAGCCAGCCCAGGCAGGAAAGTCAATGAGACTCATCTCCAATAAACTACTCAGAAAACCAGAAGTGGCGCTGTGGCCCAAGTGGTAGAGCACTCACCTTGAGCTGAGAGCTGAGGGACAGCGCCCAGGCCCAGAGTTTAGGACCCATCACAGACCAAAAAAAAGCTGCTCCAGATACCTTGCTCAGTAGCCCAGGGAGCCTCCCCTCCTCCAGCCTGCGTCCCAGCTGCCCTCATCTCCCCCACCTTCCCGAGCCCCTCCCACGGGGCGCAGCACCCACCTCCTCCTGCCCCTCTCACCCCAGAACCATGTCAACCTTGTGCACCGGAAAGGGAAGACCAAAGTGTGTCCCCACCCTGGCTGCGGCAAGAAGTTCTACCTATCCAATCACCTGCGGCGGCACATGATCATCCACTCAGGTCAGGCCCAGCTGCCAGCCAGGGACCAGGGCGGGGGCCTGGGAGCCAGGGCTGCAGCAGGCAGGGCCGGCGTCTCTTCATCAGCACGATGGAGGCTGAGACAGGAAGATCAAGAATTAGAGACCAGCCTCGGCCACTGAGCATGACCCTATATCTAAAACGAGAAAGAAGCTGGGCACCAGTGGCTCACGCCTGTAAATCCTAGCTACTCAGGAGGCTGAGATCTGAGGATCACAGTTTGAAGCCAGCTGGAGCAGAAAAGTCCCTGTGAGACTCTCCAGTGAAGCACCCAAAAACCAGAAGGGGTGCTGTGGCTCAAGGGGAAGAGTGCTGGCCTTGAGCTAAAGAGCTGAGGGACAGCGTCCAGGCCCAGAGTTCAAGCCCCATGACCGACCCTCTCTCCCCCCGCCCAAAAAAAGAGGACTTTTTGATGATTCTTTGGAAATAAGAGTTTCATGGACTTTCCTGCCAGGGCAGGCTTCAGACCGGGATCCTCAGGTCTCAGCCTCCAGAGTAGCTTGGATTTTCATGGGAAATCACCCCCAAGTGCAAACCTTGAGAACAAATTCCAGCCCATTCCTATCCAGGCCCTTTGTATCCAAGTTCGAATCCCAGCTCTGGCTGGTTGGCATGGCTGGGAAGTTGAGCGCCCACTTTGTATTGCCCAACCTTAGCAACATGGGCGGCCAGAGCCCTGTGGGAGATGGGGAGTTGGGTAGAGCTGCGTCCCTGCGACCCCAGTGCCCCCTCCTCAGCCCCTCAGCCGCGTCTCCCCGCCCTGCCCGCAGGTGTGCGTGAGTTCACCTGCGAGACCTGCGGCAAGTCCTTCAAAAGGAAGAACCACCTGGAGGTCCACCGGCGCACGCACACGGGCGAGACGCCCCTGCAGTGAGTGGCAGGCAGCGGGGCGCGGGGATTGGGTGGGAACTCTCGGTGGGCGGGGCCTCGCCGGGCGGCCCCGCCCCTGGCGGCCCCGCCCTCACCCCGCCCCTTCGCGCGGCTCCGCGCCGGCAGGTGCGAGATCTGCGGGTACCAGTGCCGGCAGCGCGCGTCGCTCAACTGGCACATGAAGAAGCACACGGCCGAGGTGCAGTACAACTTCACGTGCGAGCACTGCGGGAAGCGCTTCGAGAAGCTGGACAGCGTCAAGTTCCACACGCTCAAGAGCCACCCGGACCACAAGCCCGCCTGACCCCTCCCAGCCTCCCACCGCCGCCCCTATTTATTCGTCCGCTTGGACACCGTGTGACTGGACCGGCCGGCCGGGGAGGAGCCCCGGACAGCCGCCGCGGGGGTGCGGGGCCGCGGGCCGGAAGGAGGCGCCCCTCCCCCAGCTCCCCGGGCCCGGGGCTGGGTCCCCCCCCTCCCACACCCGCCCGGTCACATCCCAGCTCCGGAACTGTCGCTCGGGCTGCGCTGCGCTGCGGGAACTGTGTGTGGAGAATGGCGAGATTAAAGCGTGAGAAGGGAGACGATGCCTTTCTCCCAGGCCGGGTGTGAGGGGAGCGTGCGCCCCTCGCGGCGTCCCCTCCGGGGAAGGCCAGGTTAGGGGAGAGGGCCCTCAGCCCCGCACCCGGGGCCTTCCTTCCCACCGTGGCTCTCCCTCCAGAGCGGGGTGGGGTTGGGGCCCGGGGGCTCGCTCCCGACGCTCCCTCAGCCCCGAGCTGTGCAGTTAGACCCCCCCCCCCCGTGAAACACCTCCCGCCAGCGGCAAGCGCGGCTCTGAGCGCAACACGGAGGCATTGGTTTCGGGGCTGCCATTGCGATCTCGGGGCCCGAAGGGTCTCCCTGAGGAGAGACCCCCAAGATCCGTCCCCGGAGGACAGCTGGGAGAGGCCGATCTCAGGCGGCAAGAGCCGCCCCAGGGCCGGGCCCCGAAGCCGCAGGGGAAGGGGTGCGGGGCCCTGACCCCACTTCCCCGAGGGGGGGAGGGCAGCGAGGGGGGAGGCGCGGCCGCCAGGTGGCGCGCGCGAGCCGCCCGGGCCTCCGGGGCCGCGGCCGCCCGCCGGAGCACGTGCTCCCGGGAGCCCTGCGGCGCCACGAGCAGATCGGCCCCCCGTGGCGGTGGGGGAGGGAGGGGCTCTGCCTCGGCCGTGGACAGAAGAGTCCGCGAGGCTGGGCCAGCCGGGCGGCCGTGCCGGCCCCGCCGCGGGGGGCGGGAGGAGGGAGCGGAGGTCGCCCAGGCTCGGCCCGAGCCGGCAGTTTCCATGGGAACCGCAGCGGGGTCTGCGCCCCGGGGGTGGCTCCGCGCCCGGCACAGCTACTGACCCGACGGGAGCCCTGGGGAGCCCCGGGTTAGGGTGTGCGGGGCGGAGGGGGGGATAAGCTATGGCTTGGGGTCCCTAGCACCCGCCTCCAAGGCGCCCCAAGCGCGGCCACGCCGGCCGCCGCCGCCCCCCGCGCGGGCGCCGGGATTGGCCTGTGCCCGCCCTCCGCGCGGCGGCTCCCCCGCGGTGCGCGCGCGCTCATTGGCTCCGTCTCTGGGGCGTCTTGCGGCCATTGGTTCTCTCCGAGGCCGTTTCTGATTGGTTCATTTTAGCCCCTACTCCCTGGTGGTACTCTTGACAATCTGGACTTCCCCCGGGGGAACGGGAACCGCAGCGGGGTGGGGTCTGGAACTCTGGCGAAGGCGCTGGGCCACCCGCCCACTGCCCTTCCCGGCTGGCTGCCGGTGAGCCGCTGTCTGTGGTGCTGAAGCCCCCCTTTGTACCCCAGCGAATCGGTATTCCTGCGCCTCGCTGCCACTCCGACGTAAACACACACGTGTACCCCAGTACCAAAGGAGTGGAGCGTTCCTCTGTGAGACGACAAATAAAGAGACCAGAAAGCCGGGACATGTACTGGAACCCACGCTCATGTTTTAGGGGGTTCAAGAAGTATCCGTGGCTTCCTCCTCCTGCAGGATTCCAATGGACAGTGTCTAGAACCCTTCGCCCAAGCCTCTTTACCTTTTTCAGGGCAGCGTGGAATTCCCCTACACTGAAGGGCACTAGTACCTACCTTTGAACCCTAGAGGCATCTGACCCACTCAAAATCCAGGCTCTTACCGTCCAGCAGCTAGATTAGAGCCACTCAAATTAATCACTTCTTTTTTTCCAGTCCTGGAGCTTGAACTCAGGGCCTGGGCGCTGCCCCTGAGCTTCTCTTACTCAAGGCTTTTTCTGCTTATGTGGTTGGTGCTGAGGAATGGAACCCTGGCTTTGTGCATGCAAGGCAAGCACTCTACCTCTGAGCCACCTTCCCAGGCCCTCACTTCCATTTTTTTTTCCATGTGGGTCCAGGTGCTTAAATTCTGTTCCTGGGTTTTGTCCCTGAACTCATTTTGCTCAAGGCCAGCGCTCTACCACTTGAGCCACAGCGCCACTTCCATATTTTCGGTGGTTAACTGGGGATACGAGTCTTCCGGACTTTTCTTGCCCCGGGCTGGCTTCAATCAAACGAGAACCGCAGATCCCAGCTTCCGGAGTCGTCAGCGTTGAAAGGACGGTGTCCCTCGCTCCAATTCCCTCTGCTCCACACTAACAATGATGCTCACCTCCGCATGTGGCCATCCTGTTTCCTCAGCCCTCTCCGCAGACAGCACCTCTGGAGGGTCCTAAGTTGGGGATAACTAGTACTTCCTTCCTGTCTTCAGCGTCCGGCCGCCCCGTTTGTCCCCTAGATCTAGGTGTTGTACCACGAAATCTCTCCCTACTCTGTCTTTAGACAAAAAGACTGCTCAAGAAACCGGGCGCCGGTGGCTCACGCCTGTCATCCCAGCTACACAGGAGGCTGAGATCTGAGGATCACCGTTCAAAGCCAGCCCGGGCAGGAAAGTCCATGAGACTCTTCTGTCCAATAAAACCGGAAGTGGCGCTGTGGCTCAAGTGGTAGAGCGCTCGCCTTGAACTGAAGAGCTGAGCGACAGCGCCCAGAAGAGCTGAGCGACAGCGTCCAGGCCCAGAGTTCAAGCTTCACGACCGACCCAAAAGCAAGCAAGCAAGTGTGCCAAGACAAGAAGCAGGGTACCCTGGTGCAGGAGGGCCAGAATTTGGCCACTGGAGCTTCCAGAATGTACTGGGGGTCGGGGGAGGGGGGAGGTTGGTCGTTGAGACTTGAACTCAGGGCCTGGACTCTGTCCTTGAGCTCCCCCCCACACCCCGCCTTCTACCACTTGAGCCACAGCTCCACTTCAGGCTTTTTAGCTCATGGGAGAATCTCACGCTCCTTCCCTCCCACTTTCCTGCGCAGGCTGTCTTCGAACCTCGATCATCACATCTCAGCCCCCTGAGGAGCGGGGATTGACAGGCCTCCCCATCCAGGCTGCGCTCTTTTTGGGGTGTGTGCGTTGGGGGGGAGGTCTGATGTCTGAGGCCGGGCCCGAGCGCGCCGGCTTCCACCTGCCGCGCCGTCGGGAGCCACGAGGAGGCGGCGCTCGGCAGCAGCAGCCAATCAGCGACGCCGGCGCCGGCAGCTGCCGCTATAAAGGGCTGGGGGCGGCGGCTGCGCGGCCCAGAGCTCGGAGCGCGCAGCGCAGGCCGGAGGGAGGGAGGGAGGGCGGGCGAGGGGAGAGGACTGAACACCGGGGTCCCCCACAGGCCTGACCGAGGGGCGGCGGCAAAACACCCGGGCGCCGCGATCTCTGTCGGGAAGCGCACCCACCCACCCCGGGCCCCGCGGGGCCGCGCAGGGGGGGCGCCCTCGATCCCGCGTCCGGCTCCCCCTTTCCATCCTCGGCCGCTCGCAGGCCACCCCCGGGGGCCCCGGTCACCGGAGCGTGCATCCTCGGGCTCGGGTCCATCCATCCTTGGCCCTCGAGGGAGCCGCCGCTTTCATCGCCGCCTCTGCAGCGGCCGCACCCGGAGCCGCCCGGGCGGGACCCCGGCGTGCGCATCGGGCGCCCCCCTTGGAGTGCACGACCCCCCCGGAGCCGCCCTCAACACGGACCGCGCCCGCCGGGCACACAAGAATGGTCACTGTAGGTATTCCCTTGTCGCCGAGGGGAGGGGTTGGACCCAGGCTCCACGGAGATGGCGGGGAAGGGGGGGGTAGGACCAGGCCGTGGTAGGCCCGGGTGTGTGTGGTGGAGGGGGGGGTAGGACCGCGCCTCGGGCCTGCGAGTGGGGCAGGGCGGCGCCCCGAGTGTTGCGGGAGGGGGGCGCTTAGAGACTGGCCTGAGAGGCCTTGGAGAGCCAGGTTGTCATTTCGGGGGCATCCTGGGGCGCCCCGGAGGCGGGATGCCCCCCCCCTTCCCCGTCTCCAGAAGGCCTGGTGGGGGAGGGGCCGCGGCGGCGGAGGATGCTTCCTCCATCCGGGCCCAGACCCCCGCGGGCCGCCGGGGCGGACGCAGGACCCCCCCCTCCTCCCCGATGGCTGACGCGGGGCCAGGCCGCGGCGGCACGGCATCCCCAAGAGCCTGGGGGGAGGCGGGTGGCGTCGGATCGGGCGCTCCAGGCCTCGACCGCGCCCGGGAGGCGGGCGTCTCGTCCTCCAGCCCCGTCGACCTTGCGGCAAGCGGGGAGGGGCGAGGAGGGGGCGCGCCCCGAGGGCCCCGCGGGCCCGCCGCCGCCGCCGCTGCCGCGTCCCTTTGTTTCTCGGTGCTTCTTCGCGGGCCGTAGCCTCGCGCGGGCGCCTCGGGCTGCGGGGAGGGGGGGAGGGGAGGGAAGGGCCCGCGGGGCGGGTGCGGGAGGGGGGTGAAGAGCGCTTCCCGGCTCCTGGGCCCCCGCCTCCTGGGAGATGGAAGGGTGTGTGTGGGGGGGGGGGAATAAGGGACTGAAGCAGCTGCTTGGGCCGAATCTAAGCGCCCCACCCTGCCAGGACTCTGGGCCGCGGGGTGACCTTGAGCGCGCCCGCCCGCCCGCACCGCTCGCCCCGCGCCTCGGTGGTTTCAGCAGCTACGAAGCTGGTCAGCTCCTGAGCGCGCGGCCCCGCCCGGGCGGCCCCGCCCAGTCTGGCCACGCCCCCACACACCCATCTAGGCCACGCCCCCAGGGCCCCAGGGGACCCGGCCTCACCCGAGTCCTCGCGTTTCCACTGGGCGGCCCGGGAGGGCGGGGCCCGGGGCGGGGCCCGGCGGGCTCGCGCCCCGCCCCCGGCCCCACCCCCGCCCCTGCCGCGCGACTCCGCTCCCCGCGCCGCCGTGCGTCCTTTGTCTGGTCCCGGGCGCCCGGGCCTCCCTTCCCCGCTCCTGCCGTCGCTCGGTCGCGGCCTGCGCGTCTCTGTACCCTGGGGCTCTTCCCGGGCCGCTTTTCCGTGCCAGTGGCGGGCACGGCGGGTGGGGATGGTGGTGGAAGGGACTGCAGGGACTCTCCGGGCCTGGGCTTCTCCTCCTCGGCGTTGGGACCCGCCCACCTGACTCTGAGGAAGGAGACCCTCCCCCGGCCCCGGGCCTAGCCCACCTGCTCGGTGCACCCGAGGCGGGTTGCTTCCCTTCCCGGGACCCCGCTGGATAGGGGAGCCTTCACCCGGGTCTGGGAACCCCAGAGTGCGGTGCCCTGGAGACCCTCGGCCTCCCCACCCCCTCCGCCGACCTCCCCCTCCCCCCCACACACTGGGAAACCGGGATCGCTGATGCTCCAGGGAGAGGGTGTGGTCAGAGGTCACCCGAGGGCCTGGGCCTGGGCCTGGGCGGTGGGGAGGAGGTACCAAGCAGAGATAGCATGGGGGACCGGCGGGGCGGGAGGCCGGGGATGGAGTGGAGGGGGCGGTCCGGCAGCACCATGTGGTGGAGCTCCTCAATGCTCCATTGTCGTTGGCATCCAGGCATCTGTCACCGTGACCCGGCGGGGGGGTGGGGGCAGAGCTGGGCGCCAGAGGCAAGGAGGGTCCAGGGAGCAAAGTGGCTGTTAGGTGTGTTTCTGGCACAATCTATCTGTCAGGTGGGGGAGGGAGGGGGGAGAGGGGACCAGAAGGGCTTGGGATGAGAGAGAAGCAGAGAGAAAGGAAAAGAAGGGAGGACCTGGGGCCCTAGCGAGGAGGCAGGAAGCGTGAGAGTGGGTCCCCCAGCTCCCCTGGCTTCCCGTCCCTCCTTGCCAGTGCTTAGAGGTCCCATCGGGCCCGAGTGAGTGCAGGCTGGGCCTGAGCAGGTGTGGATGCCACTAATCTGATCTCCATTAGGGGCTAAGCCGGCTCAGCCCTGGAGGATGCAAAGGCGACAATGATACAGCCCTACTTAAGCGCTGGCTCAGACCGGAAGTGGTAGGGAGATCTGGAGGTTGGTTCTACTGGGTCCGGCCCTCTCCTCCCTAACTGCACCCAAGTTGGGGGGAGGGGAGCCAGTAACTCTATATGCCAACTGCATTATCTGTGAGTGTGTGTGTGTGTGTGTGTGTGTGCCCGCCCGTGCCCTTGTGCACGCACGTGCTAGCAGGCAGAACTAGGGCTTTAACCCAGAGCCTCGCATTGTCCCTTAGCTTTTTCAAGGCTGGTGCTCCACCACTTGAGCCACAGCTCCACTTCTAGCTTTTTGCTAGCTCCTGGGAGAAAAGAGTGTCACTGACTACCGTGCCCCCCCCCCCTCCCCTGGCTGGCTTTGAATTGCGGTCCTCCAGATCTCAGCCTCTCCTGAGTACCTAGAGCGTACAGGGATGAGCACCAGGATTTTTTTGCTATTGTTTTCGCAGCACTGGGGCTTGAGCTCAGTGCCTGCACCTTGCTTGGTGGGTGATCTAATCTTTGAGAAGGACATATCCTCATTTCTTTTTTATTTTTTTCAGTTTTGATTAATTTTCTAATAGAGTCTTAAAAGCCTGGTCTCAAATGATGATCCTCCTCCCCATTCTTCCTGTATAAGCTGGGATCCCAGGTGTGAGTCACTGCCTGGCTTGTTGATTGCGGTGGAGCCTCACTGCCTGTCCTTCCCTTGAACTGTGTTCCTCCAGCTTTCTGCCTCCCAAGTAGCTGGGAATAACAAGTTTGTACTGTTGTCCTTGTTCTCAAAACTCTTTTTTTTTTTTTGCAAGTCCTGAGGCTTGAACTCAGGGCCTGGACACTGTCCCTGAGCTTCTTTCGCTCAAGGCCAGCACTCTACCACTTGAGCCATAGCTCCACTTGTGGCCTTTTCTGTGTATGTGGTGCTGAGGAATCGAACCCGGGGGGTTCATACATGCTAAGCAAGCATTCTACCACTAAACCATATTCCCAGCCTCATAACTCTACCTTGCTGAGTCTGAGTGGGAGTTCAGAATCCATCTCCACTCATGGATCAGCTGTGTGCAGTCCCATTGTTGAAAGGCCAGAGACACAGAGATGACGTGGCGTGACATGACCTGCCGGTTCAGGAGTGGAGATGGTGGCAAACATGTCGTTTTAAAGGTTGGCATTCTATTACTCGAGTGCTAGTGTGGTTATAAAGCTCCACTTCTGGCTTTTTTTGGGTTCACTGGAGATCAACATCTCATAGATAGACTTCCCTGCCTGCACTGACTTGGAACTATGATCTTCAGATCTCAGGCTCCTGAGTAGCTAGGATGACAGGCGTGAGCCCCCGTGCCTGGCTTGGAGTAAACGTGTATTGCCCTGAATGAGCAGAGAACGTGTAAAAGCAATAACCAGGGACTGGAAATGTAATTCAGAGGTCGATCTCCTGTTGGCATGTGTTGAGCTTTATCCCCAGCACCACACATACAAAATGATACCTAGGGTGTGGTATACAGTAGGTACTCAGTTTTGCTTTCTTGTGTGTGTGAGGTGGGGTAATTGTGGTACTGAAGATGTGACCTTGGGGCTGGGAAGGTGGCTCAGTGGTAGAGCGCTTGCCTTGCATGCATGAGGCCCTGGGTTCGATTCCTCAGCACCACATAAGCAAAAAGAAAAAAGCCAGAAGTGGTGCTGTGTCTCAAGTGGTAGAGCGCTAGCCTTGAGCTGAAGAGCTGAGGGACAGCGGCCAGGCCCAGAGTTCAGGCCCCACGACTGGACCCCCCCCCCAAAAAAAAAAAAAAAAAAGATGTGACCTTGTGCAAACCTTCATAAGTCCTTCAGAATTGAGACTCAATTCTAAACTTTTCCATGTGTTCAATGTGGGAAAAAAGCCTTGTGAATGTTCAACGTTGGGGAGAATTACCTGGAAGTTTTCCACATAAAAATGTTTTTAAAATGTCTGTCCAAGCAGACTCTCAGCACATGTTTCTGCTATTGGTGTGATATGAATGTTGGGTGGTGAGATGTGGTTCTGTAGAGCATGTATTGCTGCACCTGTGGTAGACATTACTAATCAACTCTGGAGCCTCAGAGTACCCCTCCTGAGTGATTCCCCAAGACAGGATGGAGGTACAAAGCTGACCTTTCGTGTCTTTCTGCCTACCCCACTTTGCATGGTCCTGGGGCTGGAACCCAGGACCTTTCAGATGCGGCCAAGCTACCACTGAGTCACATCCTAGCCTAGTTATCCCTTTGATTAGAGCTAGGCACGGTTGGCACATGCCAGTATTCCTTGTTATCAGGAAGCTGAATGAAGGAGGAGGATTGCTTGGGCCCAGGAGTCAGCGAGCTAACCCCATGCTAGGACCATAGTGAAGCCAAACAGCTCTAAATTCAAACAGATTGAGGTTTGGCATTTTCTCCTTTCAAGATCTGTCTGTATCATGAAGAAGAATGATACCTTGAAGTGTTTCTCCCACAGTGCCTGGCACTGGATCCTGCTCAAATGGGGCACACTGGTGGCTAATAAAGGATGAGGCGATGGTGACGGGTGGGACAAACCCGCCTCTCCTTCCCACGCTTGTGCCCATGGCAGACATTACTAATAGATCCCAGAATGTTTCCCAGCTGTCGGCACATGTAGCTTTAGATCTTTTTGCAGGCTACTGTGCCCAAATTTTGGAATTCGCCATCAACCAGAGAAGGTGCCCAGAAGCATTAAAATGGCATATCTGAGAATATAACGCTGGCAAATGTTAGAGCCGGTGCCAGCGTTGGTTGGCAGTAGGTGTTGGAAATAGAGACTCTGGATCAGGAAAACTCATACACAAATCTGTCATTTCTGTGAGCCATTTATATGCTGCACGGCCTGGGTCTGGGGCAGTGTTTAAAACCAGCTGTGTTCTCAGCTTCCTCGTGTACTGGGCATAGAGGTGGGGTGGGGAAGGAACATCTTTTCAGTATGGTTATGAATGAGAAAAGAAAAAAGTGATCTCATATAGAATGTCTTCACGGTGCCAGGTGCACAGTAGTGCCCAATATTTGGGCAATAATGGTATGGCTTTTTGAGTAAGATAAGGCTAGGATAAGGGCTGGGAATGTAGCTTAGTGGTAGAGTGTTTGTCTAGATTCCTCAGTATCATATAAACAGAAAAAGCCAGAAGAATCACTGTAGCTCAAGTGGCAGAGTGTTAGCCTTGAGTGAAAGAAGCTCAGGGACAGTGCCCAGGCCCTGAGTTCAAGTCCCAGGACTGGCAAAAAAAAAAAAGGAAAAAGAAAAGCTAGGCATCGGTGGCTCACGCCTGTCATCCTAGCTACTCACGACCAAAAAGAAAAAAAAAAAAAAGTAAAGTAAAAAAGAAAAGAGGAAAGGAAAAGAAAAGAAAGAAAAGGCTAGGATGAGGCTCACCTGCTAGGTGTTGGCATTTCTGCGTCCCTGACAGACATTGCTAATTGAGCACAGAAACCTTTCCCACAGATAGGAAATGTGGCTTCTGAATCTAGCCAATTACTTTCAGTTTTCTTTTTCTTTTTTCTTTTCTTTTCTTCTTCTTTTTTTTTTTTTTTTGTCAGTCATGAGGCTTGAACTCTGGGTCTGGGCGTGCTACTGCTTGAGCCACAGCCCCACTTCCGGTTTTCTAGTGGTTTATTGGAGATAAGAGTCTCACAGACTTTTCTGCCTGGGCTGGCTTTGAACCATGAGCCTCAGATCTCAGCCTCCTGAGTAGGTAGGATGACAGGCGTGAGCCCCAGTGCCCAACTCTTTATATCTTGTTCCCCCCTCCCCCCCCCCACTTTTTTTTTTCTTCGTCTTCTTTCCACTAGGGTTTTCAGAAGGCGAACCTATTTGCCAGCGACATCATAGAAGATAAAGAGATGTTGTTGTTTACCTTCTCAAGTCCATGACAGACATTACCAATCAATCTCTCTACAGGACCCTTCAGATATTCATTACCGAGCATTTTTACTTTGCTGTAACGTAAAACAAAGCCTCAAGGACCTAAGGAGAAGCCGAGCATTTTATATATATATAATATTTATAATCTATATCTATCTATATGTCTAATCCTAGCTACCCAGATGATAGAGCTTGGGAGAATCAGGGTTTGAGGCCAGGTCAAGTACAAGATGCCTGAGCCCCCACTCCCACCCCATCTTAAACAATAACGAGGCATGGGAGGATACACCTGCATTCTAGCCATTAACAAGAAGCATAAATCGGATTGTGGTTCAGGCTGGCTTAGAAAAGTGAGAGCCTATTTCAAGGGGGGCTCGAGACGTGGCTCAAGTGGTAGAGTGCCTTTTAGCAAATGAAAAGTCCTGAGTTCAAATCCCAGTCCTAACAACCGAAGAATATAAAGAACCTATTTGTTGAGTTGTCAAAGCCAATGCCAACTTAGTTATCTGTCACATGTCATAATTGGAGAATTGGCAGCACAGTCTTCTAGTTTAGAAAGGCATACCTTTTTTTTTTTTTGGGTCTGGTCGTGGGGCCTGAACTCTGGGCCTGGGCGCTGTCCCTCAGCTCTTCAGCTCAAGGCGAGCGCTCTACCACTTGAGCCACAGCGCCACTTCCGGCTTTTTTCTTTTTGTTTATGTGGTGCTGAGGAATCGAACCCAGGACCTCATGCATGCAAGGCAAGTGCTCTACCACTGAGCCACCTTCCCAGCCCAGCATACCTTTTTTTAAAGAAAGAATTTACTTTATTGTTATTATAGAAGGGATATACAGAGGGGTTACATTTTCATGTCATGTAATAAGTAGAAAGGTGTACCTTTTTATTTTTTTTTCTCCATTGTGGGACTTAAACTCTGGGCCTGGACACTGTCCCTCAGCCCTGCAGCTCAAGGCGAGCGCTCTACCCCTTGAGCCACAGCACCACTTCTGGTTTTCTGGTGGTTCATTGGAGATAAGTCTCATGGATTTTCTTGCCAGGGCTGGCTTTGAACTGTGATCCTCAGATCTCAGCCTCCTGAGTAGCTAGGATGACAGGCGAGAGCCACCATTGCCCAGCAGAAAGGCATACCTCTGAGGTCTAGTGCCACCCCCAAAGTGCTGTGTGACCTCCCAAGTTTCTTAACATCTCTGAGCCTCAGATTCCTCATCAGTCTAACTGTGTATTCTTTGTGGAATTCAATAGCAAGAAGCATAAAAAAAAAATACTGCACAGGTTGTACAAGAGAGGCTCACACCTGTAATCCTAGCTACTCAGGAGGCTGAGTTGGAAGCCAGCCCAGGCAGATAAATCCAAGAGACTCGTATCTCCAATTAACCAGAAAAAAAAAAAAAAGCCAGAACTAGTAACTTGGCTCAAGTGATAGAGTACCACCCTTAAACGAAAAAGCTAAGCAATAATGCTTAGGCCCTAAGTTCAAGTCCTAGGACCAGCATACTCACACACACACACACACACACACACACACACACACACACACACACGCATGCACACATGCACACACACACAAACAAAAAACACTTTCCAAGTTTTGTTGGCTCACACCTGTCATCCTAGCTACTCCTGAGGCTGAGATCTGAGGATCACGGTTCAAACCCTGTCCAGGCAAGTCTGTGAGATGCTTTCTTTCCAATTAACCACCAAAATATCAAAAGTAGAGCAATGGCTCAAAGTGGTACAATGCTAGCAAAAAAAAAAAGGCTCATGGACAGTGCCTAGGTCCTGAGTTCAAACCCCAGGACTGACAAAAAATACAAAAAAAATACAAAAGCATGGGGCGTGGTTCAGTGGTAGAGCACTTGGCTAGCACGTGCGAAGCCCTGATTTTCATCCCCTGCAGCGCACGCATGCAAGCACACGCGCACACACACACACATTAAAAATAAACCTTAAAATCAAGCAACCTATATAAACAAACTGTCATGTGTTGGCTTTATCCTACAAAGTCTTGGTTTTAATTTTGAAAAATATCAGTGAACATACCTTATGGCATTTATATATTAACCCTAAATCCATGTCCATAGGTATAAAAAACACGATGCTCTTTCTTCCTTTTTCTCCTTTTAAAATCTATGTAAAGTCAGGCAAACAGCACAGGCATACAAGCCCTGCTACTTAGGAGCCTGAAGACTGGAGAATTGGAAGTTCAAGGTAGCCCGGACAACGTAGCAAAATCAGTCTCAAGGGAAAAAACAATCTTGTTAGGGCACTAAACCGAGACTCCCCACCTTTTTTTATCTGTTGGTTGTGGGGCCTGAACTCTGGATCTGGGTGCTGTGAGCGCTCTACTACTTGAGCCATAGCGCCACTTCTGACTTTTTCTGGTTATGTGGTGCTGAGGAATTGAACCCAGGGCCTCATGCATGCAAGATAAGCACTCTACCACTGAGTTACTCTCCTAGCCCTTTTCCCCATTTTTTTTTTTTTGTCACTCCTGGGGCTTGAACTCAGGGCCTGGGCACTGTGCCTGAGCTCCCTCATTCAAGGCTAGTGCTCTATCACTTGGAGCCAGAGATTCACTTCCGGTTTTCTGGTGGTTCATTGGAGAGAAATAGTCTCACAGACTTTCCTGCCTGGGCTGGCGTGAGCCACCTGCACCCGTGAGCCACCTGCACCCCGCTTGTAAGAAGCCAAACATGAAGGAGCCCTGGCTTCCATCTGTAGCATCCTTTCCTCCAAAAACAACCCACTCTTGAGAGAACTAACCAAGGTCCCAGGAGAAGAGCATTAATCTCTTCCAAGGGTAATGCCCCAAATGACCTAATTACCTCCTGCTAAGCCCCATCTCTTCAAGGATCCACCCCCTCACCTCCAGCCACACTGGGACCAAGACTGTAGCACGCCAACTTTGTGTTGTACTTATTTATTTGCCTCCCTTGGACTCTCCACCCGGCCAGGGCCTCCGCCCACACATGGTATTCTGTTTGTTTTCGTTTCTGTGCTGATTACTGGGACTTGAACTGCAGGGCCTGAGTGCTGTCCCTTAGCTTTTTGTGTTTAAAGATGGTACCTGAGCCACATCTCCACTTCCCACTTAAGTGTGTGTGTGTGTGTGTGTGTGTGTGTGTGTGCGCGCACGCATGCACACATGCACGTGCCAGTCCTGAGGCTTGAAGTCTGAACCTGGATGTTGTCTCTGATCTTCTTTTGCTCAAGGCGAGCGCTCTACCACTTGAGCCACAGCTCCACTTCTGGTGTTCTGGTGGTTCGTTGGAGACAGAGTACCACAGACTTTCCTGCCCAGGCTGGTTTTGAAATGTGATCCTCAGATCTCAGCCTCCTGAGGAACTAGGATTTCAGGTGTGAGCCACTGGCACCTGGTCCACACACTATTTATAGGTAATATACTGTTCACCTTGAAGTGACATGAGAAGAATGCTGGCCCTCAGCTCCTCAGCTCAAGGCCAGCACTCTACCACTTGAGCCTCAATGCCACTTCCGGTTTTGAGTGGTTTATTGGAGCTAAGAGTCTCATGTACTTTTCCTGCCCGGCCGTTCATCCTTTTCTTGCTTTGTTGATTTTTGACTTCCTGATGAATGAAAGAGATTATTAAGAACAGTTTTTAGGCCAGGTACCAGTGGCTTATCTATAATCCCAGTTACTCATGAGGCTGAGATCTGAGATTCGCAGTTCAAATCCAGCCCAGGCTGAAAAGTCTATGAGACTCTTGTCAGTCATGGGGCTTGAACTCTGGACCTGGGCGCTGTTCCTCAGCTCTTCAGCTCAAGGCGAGCGCTCTACTGCTTAAGCCACAGCACCACTTCTGGAGATAAAGAGTCTCATGGACTTTCCTGCCTCACTGGCCTTGAATGGCAATCCTCAGATCTCAGCCTCCTGAGTAGCTAGGATGACAGGCGTGAGCCACCGGTGCTGGGCTATGAGATTCTTATCTACAATGAAATGGCAAAAAGCGGAAAGTGGAGTCATGGCTCATGCGGTAGAGTACCAGCTAGCCTTGAGCAAAAGAGAAAAAGAAAAAAAATGAGCATGGTCCTGAGTTCAAGCCCTGGGTCTGGCAAAAAAAAAAAAAAAAAATAGAATCTCACAGACTTTCCTGCCTGGGCTGGCTTGGAACCTTGATTCTCAAGTCTCGGCCTCCTGAGGAGCTGGGATTACAGGCGTTAGCCACGCGCTCTCACTGTCTCCGAAGCTGTCTGTGCCGTGCCCGGTGTTTGGACTGGGCGGTGAGCGGGTGGCACCTGTTGTTTCCAGCAGATACTGGGGGCCATGGAGTCTCAGGTGGGGGGGGGGGCCGGCCGGCCCAGCCCTGCCCAACGGGCCACTCCTCGGTACCAATGGAGCCACTGATGACAGCAAGACCAACCTCATCGTCAACTACCTGCCGCAGAACATGACCCAGGACGAATTCAAGAGTCTCTTTGGCAGCATCGGGGACATCGAGTCTTGCAAATTGGTGCGGGACAAGATTACAGGTGTGCCTGGCCTCGGGGGGGGGGGGGGGGGGTGCAGGGAGGAGGTTTGGGGGACTTCACAGGAGGTAGGGGGTGAACAGGAGCCACGGGGACTGCTGGCACTTGGTGCTGGGGGACGGTGGGGCTTGGTGGGGTTCACCAGGGTTTGACAGTGGGGTCATTTCCCCCCCTGTCCACACCACAGGGCAGAGCCTGGGCTATGGCTTTGTGAATTATTCTGACCCCAACGACGCAGACAAAGCCATCAGCACCCTGAACGGCCTCAAACTGCAGACAAAGACCATCAAGGTGAGTGTCCCCAGATGCCCCGGCCCCCTCCTGCATCTGGCTTTGGCTTTCCCTCATCTCGGTCTCCTCACCCGTCAGTGTGGGGGGAGAGCGGGGCTGGGAGGAGAAGATCATCGAAGCCTTTTGTTTTCTGGAGACTCAGAAAAAATGAGTCAGGCCCCAGAGGTGGGATATGGTGTCTTGAGGAGGGGGAGGGCGTGGAGTGGGAATGGGGGGGGGGGGGTGTCCCATGAGCTATCCCTCTTTGCTTTTGTGCTGGAAATGGGGGGGTGGGTGAGGGACCCATCTGCCATCTGGAGCCTAATTAGGGCCTCAGGAGGGCGGGATTAGGGGTGGCCCCTCCCCCACCCCTGCCCCTCCCCACAGCTGCAGCTGGGGACCCTGGGAGCCCGGATTCCCTGGGGAGGGGAGGGATCACCATGGAAACACCCCCTCTCTAGGTTTGGAGGTGTAGGGGGGAGGTGGCGTTGTGCTCCGCCCCACAAATCTGCTCATGGACCCTGGGGGGAAAAGGCCAGGCAGGGAAACGTCCCATCTGTCCCCGTTGGGCATGGGGAGGGGCGCAGAGGTGTAGAAATCTCTTCCCTTCCAATGCTGATCCGGAGGCGCCCCCCTCCCCCCCCTCATTCCCCACCCACGGGTAGCCGTGGCCTCCAGTGGCTGCTGTCCTGGGCTGGGGGGGTTCTGGTGAGTTCAGATTTAGGGTGTGTCTCCCCCCATGTGTGAGCTCTGAAGTATTTGTGACACCATCTCTGCCAGCTCAGGCTGTGACCTGAGGGGACCCCTCCCCGTGGGCGTGTCTGGATGTGACAGGGTGTTGGGGTGTCTGTCAGGGTGATGCTGCGTGGGGGTGTCTACCTGTGCCCGATTTGGGGTGGGGCCCATGTGAGGTCAGTGTGTGTGGTAGGTTTGGCTTCTTTTTTTTTTTTGCCCGTGCTGGGCTTGAACGCTGGGCCTGGGCGCTGTCCCTCAGCAATTCAGCTTGAGGCGAGCTCTCTACCGCTTGAGCCACAGCGCCACTTCCGGTTTTTTCTCTTATGGGGTGCTGAGGAATCGAACCCAGGGCCTCAGGCATGCAAGGCAAGCGCTCTACCACTGAGCCACCTTCCCAGCCCCAGTACTGGGGTTCCTCCCTGCCTTATGGTCAGCTCTGGCAGGCGGCAGTGTGGCGTGCTTGCGGGCTTGTTCCATCAGCGCCGGGGCAGCACTGCGGTGCCTTGCGGTGCTGGGGCATGGGGCAGGCCCAATGGGCTGACCCTATTACCCACAAGCCCTTGGATATATGAAGGCCTGTCGTACTGTGAAAAGAATCTAGATTCTGTCCTCAGGAAACCCCCAGCAAGGAGGCTGCTAAAGTCCCCCTGACAGCCAACTCTGTGGGCTAGAGGTGTGGCCTGCCTACAAGGCCCTGAGTTCAAATCCCAGTGCCACCATGATGCAGGGGAGACAGAGATCTACTGGAACTCAGGGATCTAACTGATCTTTCCTTATCCCCAGATGTGACCCACCCAGTCACATGGGGGAGAAAAGAAAAAAAAAAAACCAAACACAGAGCTGTGATTTATTTACCAATTTATGTGTATTATTATGTGTATTTATTTATCAATTTTTGGCTGTTGTGAGACTGGGACTCAGACTTGGTACATGACACTTTTGCTCACTGGCTGGTGCTCTACCAACTGAGCCACACCTCCAACCCCCTATTTATTTATTTCTTACAGGAACTAGGGCTTTTGGACTCAGGGCCGGGGTGCTTTCCCTTAGGTTTTCACAGCTCCACGTCCAGCTTTTTGGTAGTTACAGTGGAGATAAAGAGCATCACAGGCTTTCCAGCCCCAGGCTGGCTCTGAACTGTGATCCTCAGATCTCAGCCTCCTGAGTGGCTTGGATTATTGCATGAAGCCACTGGCACCTGGCTTTTTGTGTGTGTGCTGGTCCTGGGGCTTGAACTCAGGTCAGGGCCTGGGCGCTGTCCCTCAGCTCTTCAGCTTAAGGCTAGTGCTTTACCACTTGAGCCACAGCCCCACTTCTGGGTTTTTGCTGTTTCTTTTTTTTTTTTGGGTCCAGTTGTGGGGCCTGAACTCTGGGCACGGGCACTGTCCCTCAGCTTTTCAGCTCAAGGAGACCACTCTACCACTTGAGCCACAGCACCACTTCTGTCTTTTTTTCTTTTTGCTTATGTGGTGCTGGGGAATCGAACCCAGGACCTCATGCATGCAAGGCAAGGGCTCTACCACTGAGCCATCTTCCCAGCCCTTTGCTGTTTCTCACAGGGAGCCAGACACTGGTAACTCATGCTGGGCACCTATATTCCTAGCCCCTAAAGAGGCTGAGATCTGGGCTGGGAAGGTGGCTCCGTGGTAGAGCGCTTGCCTTGCATGCATGAGGTCCTGGGTTTGATTCCTCAGCACCACATAAGCAGTAAAAGCCAGAAGTGGTGCTGTGGCTCAAGTGGTAGAGCGTTAGCCTTAAGCTGAAGAGCTGAGGGACAGCGCCCAGGCCCTGGGTTCAAGCCCCAGGACCAGGAAAAAAAATAAGGCTCAGGGGCTTACCTTTTTGGGCTGGCTGGGATTACAGGCGTGAGGTGCTGGCACCTGGCAGGTATTGCTAAGGCAGGAGTTCTGCTCAGCACTCACCACCCTGAAACAAAAGCCAGCCCCCTCCCCCTCGAGCCCCCTCCCCAGCCAGCCAGAGGCCAATTGAGAAGGAATAGAAAACAGATGTGGGCAGCAACCATGATTCCCCCCACATGCCAGTAACAGGGCACCCCGTTAGCACTCGGGGGCGGGCCTCGGAGCCCGTGTCCTGACACTGATAACTGCATCGTGGGATGGGCCTCAGAACACTGGCTGCTCAGTAAATGGACTTTTCTTCCCTCCCCCTCCCCACTTCACAATACCCACCAGTGTTTCTTGTGCAATAACTGTCCACGGCCACCATTTTTTAAGGCAGCCACCGAGTAATTGTCTGTGGCCATTGGGCCCTCAGGAATGATAGGAACCCAATGATTGGACCAGAATACGTGTCATTCACGTATTCAGGACGAGTCATAGAGTTTGGAATGGAGGGCAGAGCGGAGGTGGAGGCGCACAGGGAGGACTTTTCAGCTGAGATCTGGAGAACTGAGAAGATGAAGGAAAGTTCAAGCAGAGAGAAGAGCACGTTCAAAGGCCCTGAGGCCGCCTGTGCCTGACAGATTTGGGGAGAACAGAGGAGGCTGGATCAGAGCCATGGGAGGGGGGCCAGGTGTGTGCGTCACACACACACACACACACACACACACACACACACACGGAGCAAGACTAGATGCAAGCATCAAGATGCATGCAGAGCATCGAGCTGAGCTAGCAAGCCAAGTGAGAGTGTGGAAGATCCTGAGTTTAAATCTGCATATTCACAAGAAACCGAGAGGGAGAGAAAGTGTTGAGCTGGGCACTGATGGTTCACCCCTAGAATCCTACTTTCTCAAGTGGCTGAGATTTGAGGATCGTGGTTCGAAGCCAGCCCAGGCAGGAAAGTCTGCGAGACTTTTTTTTTCTCCAATTCTCCAATTAACCACTAAACAGCCAGAGGGGAACAGTGGTTCAAGTGGTAGAGCACCAGCCTAGAGAGAAAAAGCTAAGGGACAGCACCCAGGCCCTGAGTTCAAGCCCCAATTACCAGCACCCAAAAAAAAAAAAAAAAAAAGTAGAAGACAAAAAGCATGGAGAGCAAGCTGGGCATTCCTAGGTCTCCCAAGCCAGCCCCCTAAATCTAGAGACTGTTACCCCAGAGTTATGACTCCTTTGCCCCCCATCAGATAACCCCTTTTCTGCACGACCACAGCCGTATCTCCTTGCTCACGTCCCATTCAGTCTCTTCCACGACTCAGGGGCGTTCACCTGCTGCGCCCCCCCCCCCCCAGGTATCCTATGCCAGGCCAAGTTCCGCCTCCATCCGAGACGCTAACCTGTACGTCAGCGGGCTTCCAAAGACCATGACCCAGAAAGAAATGGAACAGCTCTTCTCCCAATACGGGCGCATCATTACTTCTCGTATCCTGATGGACCAGGTCACAGGTAAGTGTTGGGGTTTGGGGAGCGGGGGAGGAAGGCCTGGCATGGTGGCCAAGGGGGGGGAGACAGTCATAGCAGAGGGGGATCGGCTGCTCACCACACCCACCCCTACCAGGTGTGTCTCGGGGCGTGGGATTCATCCGCTTTGACAAGAGGATCGAGGCCGAAGAAGCGATCAAAGGACTGAACGGGCAGAAGCCGCTGGGCGCTGTGGAGCCCATCACGGTCAAGTTTGCCAACAACCCGAGTCAGAAGACGGGCCAGGCCCTGCTCACTCACCTCTACCAATCCTCAGCCCGGCGCTACGCAGGCCCTCTGCACCATCAGACGCAGCGCTTCCGGTGAGCCAGCTCTCTGCCATGCATGGCTGACACCCCAGGTCCCCGGGCCAGGTGCCCCAGGCCTGCAGAATCAAAGCTAAGCCCTCCTATGCAGAAAGCACCCACTAGCCGGGCACCGGTGGCTCACGCCTGTCATCCTAGCTACTCAGGAGGCTGAGAATGTGAGGATCACGGTTCAAAGCCAGCCTGGGCAGGAAAAGCTGTGAAACTCTTATCTCCAATAAACCACCAGAAAACCAGAAGTGGCGCTGTGGCTTAAGTGGTAGAGTGCTTGCCTTGAGTTGAAGAGCTGAGGGACAGCGCCCAGACCCAGAGTTCAGGCCCCATGACTGACAACAACAACAAAAAGAAAGAAAGGAAGAAAGAGGGCTGGGAAGGTGGCTCAGTGGTAGAGCGCTTGCTTTGCATGCTTGTGGGTTTGATTCCTCAGCACCACATAAGCAAAAAAGAAAAAAATGGAAGTGGCGCCGTGGCTCAAGTAGTAGAGGGCTAGCCTTGAGCTGAAGAGCTGAGGGACAGCGCCCAGGCCCAGAGTTCAGGCCCCACGACCGGACTTAAAAAGAAAAGAAAAGAAAAAAGACAGAAAGAAAGAGAGAGAAAGAAAGAAAGCACCCACTGTGTGCTGGGACACATCTGAGAAGCTGGGTACAGTGGCTCATGTCTATAATCCCAGCTCCTTGGGAGGCACAGATGGAGAGGACCGTGGGTTCCAGGCTCGGAGGGGTCCCGAGACTCCCATCTCAGCAGATAAGTCAGGTGTAGAGGTTACCTCTAATACCACCTACTTGGGAGGTAGAGGTAGGAGGATTATCAAGCCAGGCCAGCTGGGGCAGACACTATCTCAGCTGGTAGAGACCCTACCTGAACAACTAAAGCAAAAAGGGCTAGGGGTACAGCTTAAGTGGTATGGCGCCTGTTTGTGACCCTGAGTTCAAACCCTAGAACCACAAGAAGGAAAGAAAAGGAGAGAAGAGAGGGAGGGAGCCAGGTGCCAGTGGCCAGCTACTTAGGAGGCTGAGATCTGAGGATCGAGGTTCAAAGCCAGCCCGGGTAGGAAAAGTCCATGAGACTTATTTCTGATTAACTAGCAAAAGGCCAGAAGCGAGCTGTGGCTCCAGCGGTAGAGCACCAGCCTGGAGTGAAAATAAAGAAAGCCTAAGAGACAGCACCCAGGCCCTAAACTCAGGCCCCACTTCTGGCATGGAAAGAAAACAGACAACAGGAATCAGATGGAGGTCCAACGAAAGCACGGTCTCCGAGCGCTCCCTTCAGGAGGCCTCGCCCCTCTCTGCCTCGGTTTCCCCTTCGGTGACCGCCCCACACATGCCCAGGCCCCTCACCGAGTCGCAGGAGACACGGCTCATTTATTCCGCGCAGCAGTCCCACGAGAACAGAGCTGGCATTGTCCCCATTTTACGGAGGGGGTCCCTGGGGCCCAGAGAGGGCCGGGGTGGGGGGGCAGCGGGGCGGGCCCGGGGCGGGGCCGTGCCAGGCCGTGTCCGGCGGGCGCCCAGCCCCCCTCACCACCGCTCCTCCCTCCGCAGGCTGGACAACTTGCTCAACATGGCCTACGGCGTCAAGAGGTAACAGTGCCCCCACCCTGCTGTCCCCTCCCCTCGACTGTCCCTCCCCCATCCCCCCCCCCCGCACCTCACCCCCCTGCCGCACCCCAGAACCAACCCGAGAGGTCATTAAGAGACTCCACGGGGCGGCGGCCTCTGAAGCCCGGGCAGGTGTCCGGGCAAGGCCTGGTGGGGCGTGGTCAACGGTGGCCCCTCCCACTCCCTTTTCCCAGCCAATGAGAGGCCACGCACCAGGGTCGGGGGCGTGGCTCCGCGGAGGAGCCCTGGCCTAACCTGCCCAGAGGTCCTGGAGTTCCATCTCCAGAACCTCCAAAAAAAGAAGCAAGGGAAAGGAAGAGGGGGTGAAAGGTGGGAGGCAGGGAGGAAAAGAGGGTGCCCTAACGGTTTTCCCATGAGGTCTGAGATCCACCGCTCGCCCTCGTTCATTCATTCACTCATTCATTCATTTATTATTTCATTTACTGGTGATCTTTGGATAAGTAGAATGACCCCAAGTTTTGGGGTGGGCCTGGTGGTTCCTCCTTTTCCCCTCCATGGTCTGTATCCCTGGTGTGGTGACAGGTTCCCCCGGGGATCCTGGGGGGGGACCCTGGCTTGGGGCCTCTCTCGTCCCTCTCCCTCCACACCCTCTCCCCCTCCCCCCCCCAGGTCAGGGTTCTTAATCCCGAGACCCACAGAGCCAGGGAGGTGGATGAGGAGAACCAGTTGGGTCTTTTCATCCTCGAGGGCGTTCATTCATTCACTCAACAAACTCCCTTAGCTAGTCCGCAGGCTGAGATCTGCGGATCACAGTTCCAGAGCCAGCCTGGGGCAGGAAAATCTGTGAGGCTCTTCTCTCCAAACTAACCAGCAAAAAGCTGCAAGTGGAGCTGTGGGCCAAGTGGTTGAGTGCCAGCTTTGGGTGAAAACACTAAGGGACAGTGCTGAGGCCCTGAGTTCAAGGTCCACTAGTGGTGCAGAGGGAGAGGGAGGAGGGAGGGAGGGAGGGAGGGAGGGGGGAGGGAGGGCTGACAGCCAGATGTGGGTTAGGGGTTGACACCATCCATAAGATGCAAGGTGACACAGAGCAGGCCCAGCAGGGAGCCCCCCCCACCCGATGGTGTCAGTGGGGAGGGGGGGGGTCAGAGGTATGCTGGGGGTCAGGGCAGAGCCCGCGTGACCCCCAAAGTAGTCCCCTGTCGCTCATCGCCAGGTTTTCCCCGATCGCCATCGACGGCATGAGCGGCCTGGCGGGCGTGGGGCTGTCGGGGGGTGCGGCAGGCGCCGGCTGGTGCATCTTCGTGTACAACCTGTCACCCGAGGCCGACGAGAGCGTGCTGTGGCAGCTGTTCGGGCCCTTCGGGGCGGTCACCAACGTCAAGGTCATCCGCGATTTCACCACTAACAAGTGTAAGGGCTTCGGCTTTGTCACCATGACCAACTACGACGAAGCGGCCATGGCCATCGCCAGTCTCAACGGCTACCGCCTGGGTGAGCGTGTCCTGCAGGTGTCCTTCAAGACCAGCAAACAGCACAAGGCCTGAGCCTGCCCGGCCGCCGCCCTCCCCTCCCTGGGCAGCAGAGAGAGAGAGAGAGAGAGAGAGAGAGAAAGAGAGAAAGAGAGAGAGAGAGAGAAAGAGAGAGGCCAGTCCAGGCAGACCCACATCTCTGTGGAAGCCACAGCCCACTAAAGCTGAGCCCTCCGGGGACCAAAGGGTCTGGAAGGAACTGGGGGGTTCCCTGGGGAGGGGAAGGAGTCGCCCCACCTTGTTCTCCCTCCCCCACCCATCTCAGGCTGGGCTGTTCACTCTCCTCTGACTCATGGGGTAGGGAGGGGAAGGTTTTCTCTTTTTGGCTAAAAAGAAAGCAGAAACTGAGCGCCCCCCCTTCCCTTAACCATTCTACATGGGATGGATTGGTGGGGGGGGTCAAGGGGTGCCTTCCCAGGTCCCCCCATTTTCCCAGGCTTCCCCAATACCTTAGATGGGCCTGGAGAGACGAGGGAGGGAACAGGTTTAAACATTTGACCACCACCACCCCCCAAACATAAAGCAAACCGTGAAGAGGGGTGTGGGCATCCCGCATACCCCCCCCTCCCCAAACCCCTGCCTGAGTAAAATGTGAGGAACAGGGCTGTGGGGGGTGGGGTGGGAAAGAGTTAGGGCTGGAAGCTGAAACAAAATGACAAAAAAAAGGGGGGGTGGGAGGGGAAGAAAAACTCTATTTTTGTAAAAAGGGGAAAAAAAAGACCTTGTGGAGAATTTTTACTGGGGATTCTTGAACTTGAACTTAAAAAAAAATGACAAAAAAAGACAAAAAAAATTAAGACTTAAAAAAAAAATAAAACTATTTTGGCAGGTCATGATGATCAACCAGGGCAGGTGGGCGTGCAGGGAGTTGGGGGGTGAAGGGGCTGAGACTCCCACGGGGCCAGACACACACACACACACACACACACACACACACACACACACATACCACATTGCAGGACACGCTTCAGGATCTCTTTGGCCAAGACCCAGGCCGCCATCATGGCTGGAGCTAATCCTAGACAAAAGCAAGAGATGGAAGTTTTGGGGGTGAGGGTGGTTAGATCCCAAAGTAGGAAGACCCCACGGACATGAGGATGGACAGCTGTGTCCATCAGCCCACGAGGATGCAAAAACTCACAGATAGATCCATCTGGACACACACACACACCACACACACACACACACACTAAACACCCAGGGACGTGCACACATTTTTCCCAACATCCCATGGGGCAAGATGGCCCCAACCCAGAGCCAACCCCTCCTGACCCAGTCACATCCTCAGCTGGCCCCCCCACCCCCTTCCTCAAGTGACCGCTCTTAGTCCCAACCTACCCTAGGCCCCAGGTTCTCTGCACAGATTTCTGGCTCTGGGTCTCCCTGCTGCCCACCTATAATATATACCTGGCAACCGTGCACCCAGACACATAATACCTCTTCTACTTTGGCATCATGGTGGGGCTGGAGGTAGCCCACCTCCTACCCCCACAACATTGAGGCCAAAGGACCCCCCCCTTCCTGTCCCTCCTGTTTGTGGGAGGCCCAGCCCTGAGCCTTTCTCCACTAAGGGCCAGGTCCCCTGCCGGTGCCCTCCCCCGCCCCAAGCAGACATCCAGCACCCCAACCCTGCCAGCCAGGCCCAGGGTGGAAGGGCTTGGGGCCTTACCCCACAACCCCTTCCTGTCCATCCAAATGCTCCCCCTCTCTCCCTCCTTTTGGTTGTTGGGGTTTTCCTGTTTCCAGATTGGGGGAGGGTGGCGGTAGTGGACACAGAGCCCTGGCCCTGGCTTCTGTCTGGATTTTGCATCCCTTTTCCTACCTTTTTTTTTTTTAATAAATAAATAAAAATCTAACAGAAGCCAAAGGCCATGAGTCCCTGGGAGCCGTCCTCGAGCCCCACCTCCCCTCTCCCCACGGCGGGCCCAGTTAGAACTGAGAATTACAAAGCCCCCCCCCCTCCCCGCTCCCCCAACTCTGGTTCTTCTTGCCTTTCTCCCGGTGTTCTCTTGTTTGGTGTCCAGCCATGGCCTCATTGAACGTGTGACTCTCTCTCCCCATTCCTCCCCGTGTTGTTCTTTAACGTCTATGGAGCTTCTGCTGCAAGGAACAAAAAAGAAAAAAAAAGAATAAAATTAAAAAAAAAAAAAGCGACAAAAAAAAAACACAGAGAAAACAACAACAAAAGAGAAACCACAAACAAGAGGAAAACAAAACAAAAAGCGAAGGATAAAACAAAAACCACCACCACACACACAGAAGAGATTTAAAAAAAAAGAAAAAAGGAAAAAACAAAAACAAAAAAAGGACATAAACTGGCACCAGTTAACTTTCTTGTACTTTTTTGCTGAATTTAGCTTCTTGTAGTTTTACTTATTGCTATGTTAACTATTTATCGCCCGTTCCCCTGCAAAGACATTTGTGTATATTTCCGTTCTTTCATCGGTTTACAAGTGTAAAAGGGACGACAAATGTTCTCTTTGTTTCTTTTCAGTTTTGCTGAGATGTGGTTATGCCTAATTTATTTATTAAAAAAAGGGAGTGGAATTATTAAAGTAATAATAATTATTAATAACAGTAATGGTAGCTGAGGGGCACCCAGGAGGCGTGGGCTTTGTGGGGCCTGCCCCAATCTTGGGGGGTTCTTAATGGAATTATTTTTGCTCTTGTCTTGAGAATTCTTTCAGTCTTATTTAGCTGGTGAAAACCCTAGCTTGTTGATGATACACAAACCTATTTATTCTTGTGGTTTTTAAGTCCTCCCTCTCCTTCCTCCTCCTCCTCCTCCCAGCAGGGCAGGGACCCCCCCCCACCCTTTCCAGCGGGTGTACCCCTCTTTTCCCTGCTGTTTCTGGGGCTTCCCCCCCCTCCACCCTCCGCATAAATGCTGGAGGCATCCGAGCAATAAGGGCTGGGTGTGTCCCCCCACCCTGGGCGGGGCCGGGGCTCTGCAGAGGGGGCACCCCCCCACACCCTCCCCTCCCCGTCCCCACCAAGGCCTAGGTCCCTGCCAGGCCTGACTGGGTGGGACTGTTTGTTTTTTTTCTTTTTTCTACAACACAAAAAGCTCAGCCCAGCCAGGTTCCCCACTTCCCGGGAGGCCAGCCCCCTGTTCCCAGGGGGGCCAGGCCGTGGGGAGGGGGCCTGGGGGGGCCAGGGGCTGGGCCAGCGGGTGGGGCTCCCCAGCCCCTCCAGCCCCCCCTTCCTCCTGCTATTTATTTGAACAGGTTTCAGAATCCTGAGAGTCCCATGTTGGAGGTGATAAAAGAACTGTTCAAAAAAAAAGATAAAAAAAGACAAAAAAAACAAAAAACCCCACACATACACATTAAAAAAGGAAAACCCAAGAACACTTCACGTTGCTGCGTTTAGACTATTTATTACCGGGATACCAGGCCTGGCCGCGGTAACAAGACTTTTACATGGAATTGTTTAAATTATTTGTACTTTTCATGCCAGAAAATAAAAGTTCAGAATCTTAAGGCTGTGGTGTGGTGTGCGCAGGCGCGCGAGGGTCTTAGGGGGCGTGGCCTGTGGTGTGCGCAGGCGCGAGAGGGTCTTAAGGGTGTGGCCTGTGGTGTGCGTAGGCTCCGGAGGGTTTTAAAGGCGTGGCGGGTGGTGTGCGCAGGTTCTTAAGGCCGTTGTGAGTGGTGTGCGCAAGCGTGCGAGGCTCTTAAGGCTGAGGCGTGTGGTGTGCGCAGGCGCGGGAGGGTCTTAAGGCTGAGGCGTGTGGTGTGCGCAGGCTCGCGAGGGTCTTAAGGTTGTGGCATGTGGTGTGCGCAGGCGCGGGAGGGTCTTAAGGCTGTGGCGTGGTGTGCGCAGGTGCAGGAGGGTCTTAAGGCCGTGGTGGGTGGTGTGCGCAAGCGCGCGAGGCTCTTCAGGCTGTGGCGTGGTGTGCGCAGGCGTGCCAGGGTCATAAGGTTGTGGCCTGTGCGCCAGGGAGGGCCGAGGCGTCTGGGCGTGGCTGTGCCTACTGTGTGGCCTGATGCCCGATGCTAACCCTCTCTGGCGCTGGGGACTCTCCTGTCCTGGGTTGGCCCCGTTTCCCTGTGCTCTACCCAGTTGATCAAGGCACACAGAGCCAAGATTTTTTTGGGGGAGGGAGAAAGTCACATTTATTGTTCCGAGGTCACGCAGGTCAAGACATTCTCTGATTTCCCCACCAGGAGTGGGGGGCGAGGGGGCGGAGGGAGGGCAGGGGCTGGGCACCGGGGTACTGGGGTGGGCCCCAAGGGAGGGGCAGTTTCTTAATCCCATCTTTGGAAGCCGCAGCTGGGACGGAGGGTGCAGCTCGGCTCCCACCGAGGCCGGGAAGTGGGGACCCGCTTGGTTCCTCCCCCAGGGAGGGCCAGGCCTTAGTCCACAAATAGAGGGGCGCAGGCACGGGTGGCACGGCGGGGGCTGCCTTCACACGCGGGAGGACCTGGGATGGGAGAGAAGGGAACTGGGGGAGAAGCTGGAGGCACTCTGTGGGTGCTGGTCCTGGGGCTTGACCTCAGGGCCTGGGTGCCGTCCTTGAGCTCTTTTGCTCGAGGCTGGCGCTCTGCCACTTGGGCCACAGCGCCACGTCTGGCTTTTTGGCAGGTGATTGGCATCTGAACCACGATCCTCAGGATCTCAGCCATCTGGTGAGCTGGGATGGGGGGGCGGGCATGAGCCACCAGCCCATCTTCATCTTCCTCGTCACCCTCGTACCCACCTCTGGGCAGCCGCAGGCTGACGGGAGCTCATAGCTCGTCGTGGTCGCCGTCGGGGGGCAGCTCGGGGGGCGGCTCGGGGCAGGCGGCGGGCGTCACCAGTTCCATGAGGTATTCGCAGCGGCTGGGCTCTGTGGTGCTGGCCACAGCCGTCTCCTTCCCACACAGCAGGCGGACCTGGGGACAGGGATGTGTGGGAGGGTTGGAGGGGGGGGAGCGGGTATCCCCCCACGCCCCCCTCGCGCCCCTTGGGCACTCACGGTGGTGGAGCGGTTGGGGCCTTGCCAGCATCCTGTGCCCTGCTCGTACTTCATAGCACTGAACTTGTCATGGTCGGGGCCGGCCCAGGAGC